CTCTTCAGAGAAAGAAGCCCCGCCCCCATCAGAGAAAGAAGCCCCGCCCTCTTCAGAGAAAAAAGCCCCGCCCTCCTCGGAGGCCCCTCCTACCCCTGGAAAAGTAGCGCTATCGACTGAAGAATCGCCCTGCCAAGCTTCCAAGCCCGAATTCAACCTATTCCCTCTCTCCAAAGGCTTCTGCCTTTCTCTTACAATTCAAATAGAGAAATTTAAAGAGGCCCTGAACGAATTACAAATATCTCAATAGAACCATTCATTATTGATTCATTATTCTTTCGTTATGAATAAATTAAAATTGTAATGTTTATCCGCGTGTTTCGTGTGAATTACTTTTTTTTTTGAAAGTGTACAAAAACAACATATATGAAAAAACAAGTTTTTTTATTATTCAAAATAGTTTCTATTTACAATACTTAAATTATAGTGGTCCCATCTTTTTTTGGAGAGATGATTTCTTCATATAAATCTCCGCGCAAAGAACTCCTGGAACAACAAAGTACATTAGGAATTTGAAAATGATTTGTTAGAAGTTTTTGAAATTTTATGGCTATACAATCCTTTAATTCGAAAAAGAAATAATAAACACTATTAGGTAAAGGGTTTATTTTATTTTTTTATCCCTGGAAAATTATCTATAAATTAATATATCATCCCATTATAATATCTGATATTTTAGCTGTAAACAGTTTGATGCACGCCCACACATGCCAATAACACAATTATTACTATACAAAGTTCATCTTGATATTGTATATAGAAGTATCCTGACTTTGGTCAATTTAGATACCATCGCATATGTCAACTTCTCTCTTCAGCTCTGGATGATGTATTACTGATTGTTAGATACTTTAAGTTCTGCACAGAAGCTGGGCGCATGAGAAAGAATGCAGGGCAAAGGATACTGGAGGATGACCTATCTGTAAATAGGTAACTGAATGTGAGACTAACTTTATTTTGTTGTAAATGTTTCCTCTTCCCTCTCCTCTTGTTGATGTGTAAATACGGCGAATCCTATATGGGGCGGAATGCCCTAAATAAAGGCTTTTGTTGTTGTTGTTGCTGTTGTTGTATATAGAAGTATATGCCCGTTGAAGAACAGAAATTTTGCTCGAAAGCTTGCGAAAATTGAAAGAAACCCTTTACCTTAATACTGTTTATTCTTTCTTTTTCAAATATTTTCTAGGTAACAATAATAGAAGCCCCGCCCTCATCAGAGAAAGAAGCCCCACCCCATCAGAGAAAGAAGCCCCGCCCTCATCAGAGAAAGAAGCCCCGCCTTCATCAGAGAAAGCCCCGCCCTCATCAGAGAAAGCCCCGCCCTCATCGCCCTCATAATCCTTTAATTCCTGACGTTTCAATGATTCACTGTCATTCTCCTCATTGGAAATAGAACTTTTGATACATTAGAATTCTGATGATAGCGCGCCATCTGTTATGAGAATTTGAAACTATTATAGACGCTACAAGTAAATAAGACACCTAATCCAAATAATTTAATAGTGTGTGACATTTTGGCAACACCATTGTTACCATCATCAAACAAAAGAATAAAATGAAATACGATTTTATTCTTTTTTTTTTTCTGATGATGTTTTTTTATTTATTTAACAGTTGGGAGAGACACGCCATATCCACAATTAGGATAATTGCGTGTATATTATTATATACAATTAACACAATTGAACATTAGGAATCATGAAAATTAAACGTTCGATGTCAAATTTTGCATATAGCAATTAGAAAGAGTAGCTTGAAATATGTACAGTCAACACTTTCACCTTGAAATATACATCCTGCAGAATCTATTAAACTTAATGTATTGGTCTTTATTGCAAGCAACTTGTTTTGTATTAGTCAGGTAAAGTTGGTTTTCTTTCCTTAATGACAATGCTGTTTCTGAAACGTCACACACTATTAAATTATTTGGATTAGGTCTTCTTTTATCTATTATCTATGATACAAATTGTGCCTTATCTAATTATAAACGCTAATGATTTATTATTATTTTTTAAAATTTAACAATTTTTTCTACTTCTCTTACTACAATGAAAAATAAGCCAGGCCCTCCCATTAAGTTTTTTCAATTGCAGTAAGTACAGTAGTTAATTGTTTAATTAAAAAATATATAATTAAAAAATACCTGTACCAACCAATCAGAAAGCACGGTAGTATCTGTACCAACCAATCAGAAAGCACGGTAGTATCTGTACCAACCAATCAGAAAACACGACAGTAACTGTACCAACCAATCAGAAAACACAACAGTAACTGTACCAACCAATCAGAAAACACGACAGTACCTGTATCAACCAATCAGAAAACACGACTGAGGAAGAATACCTGTACCAACCAATCAGGAGACACGACAGTAACTGTATCAACCAATCAGGAGACACGACAGTAACTGTATCAACCAATCAGGAGACACAACAGTACCTGTATCAACCAATTAGAAAACACGACTGAGGAAGAATACCTGTACCAACCAATCAGAAAACACGACCGTACCTGTACCAACCAATCAGAAAACACGACCATACCTGTACCAACCAATTAGAAAACACGACTGAGGAAGAATACCTGTACCAACCAATCAGGAGACACGACAGTAACTGTATCAACCAATCAGGAGACACGATAGTACCTGTATATCAGAAGCTGTGACGCTGATAGGTTGAGGAGAATGGCGGCAGAACCCCAGGACTGGAAGTCGGGAGCCAGCAAGCAGTATCGCCATCTACAGCCACAACATCAACAAAAGTTATATAATTATATGTAAATAGGATGATTCAACTTACCAATGGAACATTCCTGGATATCAGAAACTACCGACTCTGCAAACATCACAGAACTTAGATATCAACTTACTTATCCCTTCGAATCATAAGAAAGGACACCTCTCCCTTCAAAATAGACCTAAAAACAATGCACTATCTATCGGAATTTAAAAAAAAAGATAAAAAATTAACAATAATTTACTTAAGAAAAAAAAAGGCATCTCCTTATCGTGCAACTGAAAGTTGCTGATGACTTGCGCCATTTATCGGAATAAATATTAACTATTCGTTGATTTTAAATTTGTTTGATTAATCAAGAAAAGCTAATTAAGTACGTGTTTCGGGTTGTTGGCCTTTGTCAGCGTGGTACAAGCTGTGCCTCAACGACCAAAAATCTGGTCATTCAGGCATCCTGAAAAATCATGAAACGAGTAAATGTGGCCAAATTTAATTCCGATAGATGGCGCAGGCCATTAGCAACTTTCAGTTGCATGATAAGGAGATGCCTTTTTTCTTAATTTATGTACCTTATCCCAGTACAATATTACATTTGGACTATTTTTTCATAATAATTTTCTTGTTATTGTGATAAAACAAGATTTCGATCAAAAATCCTTTTCAATTGACTTATTCAAGTTAAATGGAGAAATACAGACTATTTGTTGTTGTTGTCGTGTCCAAAGAAGAGTCTCAGATGTCTCCATGCATCTCCATCACAGCAGCAGCAATATCCACTATCTTGGGTGTGTAAAGCTGCTGCTCTGGGTCTAAGTCAATTTTCTGCAAGGCTGCGGCCATTGCCGGGCATGAGAATATGTGAGTAGGTATTAGTTCCACACCAGGACAGTTGTTGCATGCTCTATAGGTTCTTGTGCCATCTGGATGTATTGTCATTCCTTTATAGTGTTTTGTTCTAAGTCTTGTTATAGTTTTTGTCAGTTTTCTCTCAGGCTATTTATATATATCAAATGTTTATCTACACACCCGCGGGTATGCAAAGTATGACCATTTAAAAACAAAATATTAGAAAATATTTTAAAAACATTCATTAGCTACACGCAGATAAACATATGAATTTTGTAAACAGCCTATATTTATCTATTTAACTTTAATAATTCAGTTAAAGAGTATTTTTGCTCTAAAACTTGTTTTGTCACAAAAAAAAAAGAGAAACTTTTCGCTAATTAATTAATTAATATTGTTAAGAAGAGTTTGAAAGTACATTTTATTTTATCCATTATTGTAAATTTGCCTAACCTAATTTGCATTTATGCTTTTGATTTTCTTTGTTCGCCTGTTTTACATGTTTTCTTATTTTTTCACCATTACAAATTCCATCTTAACAATCATTAGATTAGATTTTTCCTCGACTTGTCCAGTGGACAGTTGTAAAATAAACAAAATAAACATTTATTTACCGCTGTCTCCATGTTTCCTCGCGGCACCTCAGAACATCATCGCAACAATTTTAACAATTATAATAAATATATATTCTTTCCTCATTTTACATTTTGATTTAATAAATAAGGAATTAAGAGTTTCAGGCTAACATGTTCCCTTCAACACGGAGATCTAGAAATACAACCTCTATCCAATTACAACACGCCTTATAAATCCGCCTTTGCCGGTCCCAAGCCCGGATGAAAAAGGAGGAGGGGGAGCAGTAACAAGCTCACTAAAAAACCTGGGTTCAGCTGGCCCGGCTGATAGTACCCTGTAAGGACTCCAGGGATACAGGATGAGCAGCGTTTGTACTCCATGTTAGGAGCGGCTGTACATGGTGTCTGTTCCTCATGTCAGAGGCGGTCATTTCTTTTGGAGCTAAGTCGGCCTGCCACTGAGTAGTGCTCCCAGTCTTAATGACAAAGGCAGACGCATTCTACTTCACACAGTCATGATGGTTGTCAAACAAGCTTGATACCCTAATATGCTTGAGTGGAGATAAGAAAGAAAAAGATAACACTCGCCTTAGCTAGAAGTAAAACTTCAGGATCTCCGTCTTGAAGGATATGTTAGCCTGAAATCTCATTAAATAGAAGAAATAAGAAACGAAACTCTTGATTCTTTATTAATTAAGTCAAAATTAACAAAAATATTTAATTATGATGTACTATTAATATATACAGTTATCAGCGTCATAATCAATTCTTTCTTAATCAATTCTGTCACCGTTTGCTTTTGTGAATGGAATAAATACCCAAATATGGCCATTTCTCATAACCATCGGTGGTTCAGTGGTAGAATGGTCGCCTGCCACGCGGTCGGCCCGGGTTCGATTCCCGGCCGATGCATTTTTTTTTTTACAATTTTTAAAACTCATTTATATATTATACAAGAATGACATCCACGGCGCCAATTTATAATTGTAACGAATAGTATTTGAATAAAAGCATTTAATCGGGTAAAACCCGGGCGTTGCCCGGGTCATTCGGCTAGTCTATATATAATTGTTTGAAAATAGAGCAATCCATATAATAAATTATTTAAAAATGCTTATTTTGGATCATAAAGTTTAATTTTCCAATATTTCGTAAGGCAACTCGCCATACTTCTTCGGGGAACAAGATTGTTTTGAGATGCTCGCGTATCAATTCCCGAGTATGTACAACTGCTATAAAATTTAAAATATCTAAAACCTACAATAATCATATAAATTTTATAGCAGTTGTACATACTCGGGAATTGATACGCGAGCATCTCAAAACAATCTTGTTCCCCGAAGAAGTTTGGCGAGTTTCCATACGAAATATTGGAAAATTAAACTTTATGATCCAAAATAAGCATTTTAAAATAATATTTATAATTATATGTAATTCTGCTGTCCTCAAAACTTATGTCCATAGTTCATCTAAAATACCCATTCCAAAAGTCTAGCTACAGTATCACTATAAAAGGAAGATCGAAAAATGCAATATAACAGCGGTATGGTAGATTAAACTGGCGAATTCTCTGGGAGAGTTCACCACTGATGAACCAGGCCCCTCCCATTAATTTTTCCATATTGCAGTAAGGGCAGTAGAAATTGTTAAATTTCAAAAAGAATCTTACGTGTCTAAAATAATCTCGTATTTTCATAATATTTAATACAAATTTTGATTGAACTTACCAAGAATCTGGTTGTCCTTAGATACAAGATCCCATGGTTCTGAATTGGTAGACGAGATCTCGCCTATTTCAGGTTTCTTGAGCCAGCATGTTGTTTCCTGTAATCATATCCAAACAGTGAGAAACAAACTTAAATAATAGAAGGGGTTTTTATATATTTGTTATTAAATGGATATTTTGCCGGGAGGATATTGATCTAAAGAGACAAAGGTCACCTCTCCCGTCAAAATAGACGCCAAAACTAGACGCCATCTATTTGACCGTCGCTGCAAACTAGCGGCCTCGGGTCATTTAATTAATGTGTTATTAAAGTATATTTATTATGATTAATTAGCACGCCATCTGTTATAAAAATTCGAAATTATTATAGACACGTATGATTCTTAAAAAAAAAAGATATTGTTTAATTTTTAAAAGAATCATACGCGTCTATAATAGTTTCGAAAGTATTTATACACTGCGTGACATTGAAAATGGAACACCAAGAAATAGTGGCCAGAAAGTGATGAAACTCGGCAGACAGAGAGAGACAGGGACGAACAATAAGTGATCTTTATTTCAAAATGATAGTCATAATACAGAGCGAGAACGGCGTCGGCTTAGTAGCAAGTAGGACCACCGCGGACGGCGATGCACGCAGCAACACGTCTAGGTAGAGAGTCAATCAGAGTACGGATGGCGTCCTGAGGGATGGCTCTCCATTCCCTCTCAACCATTTGCCACAGTTCGTCTTCTGAACGCGGCTGTGGCAAGGCATGCAAACGGCGTCCAATGATGTCCCAGACGTGCTCGATTGGTGAGAGATCAGGAGAGTACGGTGGCCAGGGAAGCATCTGTACATCTTGCAGAGCTTGTTGGCTAATGCGAGCAGGGTGCGGTCGAGCGTTATCCTGCTGATAAAGGGCATTGGGTACCCCCTGAAGGTAGGGGAGTGTCACCGGTCGCAGCACATCATCAACGTATCGTTGGGCCGTCATAGTGCCCTGAATACGAAGTAAAGGTGACCTGGAATCATACGCGATTGCGCCCCAAACCATGATTCCACGTTGTCGCACGGTGGGGCGTTCCACAATTGCTGCCGGATTGGACCTTTCTCCACGTCGACGCCACACGCGTACACGGCGACTATCACTGGACAAGCAGAAACGCGATTCATCTGAGAACACGACCCTGTGCCATTCCGTCATCCACGTCGATCTAACCCGGCACCATTCCAAACGTTGGCGCCTATTCGGTGGGGTCAATGGCAGTCTTCTTAGCGGACGGCATGAGTGCAAGCCATTAGCAACCAATCGACGGGAAATGGTTCTGGTCGAGATGGAATGATCTAGGGTGTCTTGCATGTGTTGCAGGATGGCGGTACAAGTGGCTTGTGGGGCCGCCACTGCTTGTCGAAGGATAGGCCGATCCACACGTGCTGACGTCACTCTGGTTGCACCGGCATTCCTATAAATTGCCACATTTCCTTGTTCCAACCATCTTCTCCACAGTCGGTGCACCGTGGACGCACCAAGGTGTGTATCAACTGCGATTTGACGTATGGACCAACCTGCCCTTTTCAGTCTGATCACCATGCCCCTCGTAAAAGCGTCTGTCTGCTTGAACTGCCTCCGTTTACGATGACCTGGCATTCTCTGTTATTACACGTGTCTTTTGACACAAGAAAAAATTTCTACAATGATTTTCCTTGAAGAAATAACGACACGAATACTGTCATTTCTGCAAGTTCCTTCCCTTATATCTTACTCCATGTGCGCACGAGAGCTGCGCATTTTACATCATTTGCATAACTCGGTTAGGCGCGTCTACCCTGAAATTTGCATAATTTTCTGGCCACTATTTCTTGGTGTTCCATTTTCAATGTCACGCAGTGTATATTATAATCTAAAAAATCAAATATTTCTATATTTAAAAAAATATATATTTTTTATTTTTATTCATTGATATTTTTATTTTTTGTGATCATCGTTTTTAGAATAACTTTGAGTTTTTGTTGTAAATATGCGTAGTTAACATATCTATCTTTTTGAATCACTAATATAGGATTAACTTTATAAATTCTATATAATGTGAAAATAACTAATGTGTAATATTTACTTAAGAAATTGAAAATAAAAGCTACTTGATGGTAAATAATTATATTTTTCTTATCACGACTGCACCAACAAACAAATTGTTCATAACATATATATGTCATAATATATACTCTTCCAGGAATAATAAAGCAAACCTACAGACAACCCAGAGAGAGACGGGATGTAAAGTCCGGTCACTTTAGACACCAGCGACATTCCAAGGGGCGACAACTGGGGCCCGTCCGTTAACACCTTGGGACTTTTAAGACAGTTGGGGATTGTGTGCGACACGAACGGCCGCCCGGATTTGCCGGGCCCGTCTCTCTCCCTCTCTGCCAGCCATCACCTCGACCTGCCCACTCTGTGGGAAAGAACTCTCGCATTCCATCGGTGGCGGAGTCTTTCTCGCGGTGGGCGTCACCAATGAAGACCTTGTATATATATTTATATATATATATATATATATGATGAGTGATCCTGTCGACTCACTGTAATAATTTGTTGAGTTTGATGTCGACTACTGAAATGATATTTGAAATCCTGGTAGCTCTTGTTGTACTGTGTTGACCAAGAGGAACAGTCAGGATGTAGAGTTTTCCAGTACCTCTCTGCACCTTGGAAGACCTTTAAAAGTTCTCACAAAATAAAGGCAGTCGTGGTCGAGGCAGAGTGGAAAAGTTTGGGGATATCCACACAAAAAACGAAGACACAGTTGCACTAAGAAAGTCTCGTAACAGATAAAAGTTGAGCTAAGGAGCGAAAAGATGGAGATAGACGAGTTCTTCCTAACTACATGTTGGATGAGATCGACATAACATACGACCGACGCGGCTTGCACTAAGGGTGAACTAAACTAAACTGAACTGAACTGTACTGAGCTGTCAAGTCCCTGTAAAAGTGATGTATTTATAGCTTAAAAGACGGGGGGGGGGGGGACCTTATGTGACAGGGGCGTTTGAGAAAGGGCGCCTTTACCTGTCCAGGTGTGAGAGGGGTCTCTGCATTCCACCACATGTGACAGTGTGGGTGGCCTGTCGTGGGAACTGTGAATCTACCTGATTTATGACTTCCATCTTTAGACTCTGTTGTTTTGGCAATACTATATGTTCGATCTCTGCCCTAGCTCAACTCTTAAATCTATTACAGATTTTATTTATTTATCCACTTTGTACAAATTACATTACATAGGGCGATGTGATGACACAGATTAATCATGCGCATAATTATTTATAGATGTGTTTCTATATACAACATGACAATCTTGTTATAAGTTATCTACACCATATGAGGTTGTTGTTTTAAATTACCATTGTTGAGCCCCGGGAGTGAAAGGGTTTATCCGGGTTTAGGCGGGTAAAGCCTCTCTAACACAGGTAAGTAATTAAAATTTCTTTTAATTAATTTAAACTGTGAGGGTTAAAAAGGGCTATAACAAGATGATATTTGTTGGATATATAAAAGTGAAATAAAAATGACATTGTGTTTGATTAACAAAAAAGATGATTAAAATAAAATGATGACATAAAAATTCACATTCTAAGAGAATATTGGTGGGCGTTGGACAGGGTTAGTAGTTAAAGAATAAGCAATTGTGAGATTTACACATGCAATCAAATACTTAGGTCCAGGTGCAAAGCGAGGATATGGACTTGAGCGTCTTCCTAGGCAATGTTTCACCTGTGATCCTGTATAGGGTAACAGTGCTTTGTCACAATTGTAGTGTTATTGGGTTGAAAAGTTGTTGAAGAATATGTAATTGTTAGAAGTGCCCATGTAAACCAAATACTCAGATTCAGGTGCAAAGCGAGGATATAGACTTGAGCTGTCTTCCTTGGCAATGTTTCACTTGCGATCCTATATAAGGGTTACAGTGTTTTGTCACAATTTTAGGATTATTGGGTTAAAAGTTGCTGAAGAAAAGTTGCTTATTAATATGATTGAGAAAGGAGTGAAATAGAGCCATGCGATAAGTAGAATTGTAGCGACAGTAGGTGGTCTAACTTGACTCGAAATCAAAGGTTGAATGTGGTCCGCTAGAGCTGAAAAAAAAAAGTTGAAAGTTGAAAAAAGTGAACGCTTTGTGTATGCGTTGGTGATTTGCTCTGCGGATG